CTTGAGAATGAGAATGGAGCAAATGGAAGCTAATGACTTTGTGAGAAATCAAGAAGCAATAAAACAAAACCAAAAGAATGAAAAAATAGAAGACAATGTGAAATATCTCATTGGAAAAACAATTGACCTGGAAAATAGATCCAGAAGAAATAATTTTAAAATTATTGGACCACGTGAAAGCCATGATAAAAAAAATAGCTTAGACATCATATTTCAAGAAATTATCAAAGAAAACTGCCCTAATATCCTAGAACCAGAGAGTAAAATAGAAACTGAAAGAATCCACCCATCATCTCCTGAAAGAAACACCAAAATGAAAACTCTCAGGAATATTACAGCCAAATTCCAGAGGTCCCATGTCAAGAAGAAAATATTGCAAGTAGCCAGAAAGAAACAATTCAAGTACCATGAAGCCACAGTCAGGATAACACAAGATTTAGAAGCTTCTACATTAAAGGATCAGAGGGCTTGGAATATGATATTCTGGAGGGCAAAGAAGCTAGGATTGCAAGAGAGAGAGAGAGAGAGAGAGAGAGAGAGAGAGAGAGAGAGAGAGAGAGAGAGAGAGAGCGCACACAGGTGTGAGTTGAGTTGAATATGAAGGGATGAATCTAAAAAAATAAAATTAAGAGGTAAGAGAAGAATGTACTGGAAAAAAAGAAAAGGAGAGGTAGAATGGAGTAAATTATCTCACATAAAAGAGGTAAGAAAAAGTTTTTACAGTGGAGTGGAAGATGGAGTAAATGAAGGGGATTGAGAGAATCTTACTCTCATCAGAAGTGACTCAAAGAGGGAATAACATACATACTCAATTGGGTATAGAAATCTATCTTCCTTACAGGAAAATAGGAGGAGAAGGGGATAAGAGGGGGGTATGATAGAAGAGAGGACAGCAAAACACTTTTGAGGAGGAACAAGATGAAAGGAGAGAAAGAGAATAGGATAAACAGGAGAGAGGGCAAATAGGATGGAAAGAAATACAATTAGCAAAAATAACTGTAAAAGAAATTTGAAGCAAGTTTCTCTGGCAAAGGCTTCATTTCTCAAACATATAGAAAACTGAATCAAATTTACAAAAATAAGAGCCATTCCCCAACTGATAAATAATCAAACGATATGAAGTTTTCAGATGAAGTAATCAAAGCTGTCTATAGCCTCATGAAAAAAAATGCTCTAACTCAGTATTGATTAGAGAAATGCAAATTATTACCATGCTAAGATACTACCTTACATGATTATATTAGCTAATAGGACAGAAGAGGAAAATGACCAATGGCTGAGGGGATGTGGGGAAAATGAGACATTAATGCACTGTTGGTGGAGTTGTGAACTGATTCAACTATTCTGCAGAGCAATTTGTAACAATGCCCAAAGGGCTATAAAACCTATTTGACCTAGCAATGCCACTACTAGGCCTACATATCCCAAAATAAATTTTTGAAAAAGAAAAAGGAGCTATATGAACAAAAAATATTAATAGCAGCTCTTTTCTGGGGGGAAAACTTAGAAATTGAGGGGACACCTATTAATTGGGGAATGGCTTAAGAAATTCTGGTATGTGATTATGATGTAACACTATTGTGCTATAACAAATGATGAGCAGGATGCTCTCAAAAAATATGGAAAGATTTAAATGAGCTGATGAAAAGTGAAATGTGCTGTGTACAAAGTAACAGCAATATTGAAAGATGATCAGCTAGGAGTGACTTAACAATTCTCAGCAATACAATGATCCATGGCAATTCTGAAGGACTTATGATGAAAAATGCTATCCATCCCCAGAGAAAGAACTGATGATGTCTGAATATAGATTGAAGCATACATTTTTTACTTACTTTATTTTTCTTGAGGGGTTTTTTGGTTTATGTTTTCTCTTTTCACAACATGACTATTATAGAAATGTTCTGCGTGACTTAAAATGTATAACCTATATTGAATTGCTTGCCTTCTCAATGGAGGGGGAGCTAAGGAGGGAAGAAGAGAAAGAATTTGGAACTTAAAGTTTTAAAAACTAATGTTAAACTTGTTTTTATATAACTGGGGAAAATAAAATACTAAATAAACAAAAAAGCCTAATAAGTTGGCCACCAAACCATTAATATTTTTGCTACAATAATTATATGGCTCTGCACTTTCCTGATCCTTCTCCTACTTCTCTGACCATTCCTCTTACTCCTACCTCCGCTGGCTTTTTTTCCTCTTCCAACCTTCAACTGAGGTTATTTTTAAAGTTCTATCCCTAGTCCTCTTTTTCTCTCTTGACAATCTCTCCTGTCAATGATCTTATCCACTCTCATGGTTTTATTCACACTCTTGGGTGAATTACTTCCAAATCAGATTCTCCAGCCCCGATCTCTCTTTTGAATTCCAGTTCCATATTTTCAACTGCCTATTGACATTTCCACTTTGGTGATACTACCAATTCAACTTGTCTAAAACCAAACTCATCGTCTGTTTCCTAAACTCAGCTCTTCCTCTTGACTTTCCTATTCCTATTAATGGCACTACCATTTTTAAGGCTTGAAACCATGAAGTGATTTACTACTCCTTCTTCTTCTTTTCCCACATTTAATCAATCAAACTCCCACTATTTTTTACAATATTTCTTGCATTTGTTCCTTCATATTCTCTTTTCCATCATCCTAGTTCAGGCCCTTAAACCTAGATATTGGGAGTCACACAATCTTTGACACAGTATACTCGAGAGAATAAAAAAGGCTTGTCAAAAATGCAGCTATCACTGACCTTGTGACAGAGTCATGACTGTTCATCCACTGGCATAGTTATGTCTCATAGTAGACAAAGCACTACAGTAGGAGTTAGGAAGATTTGAATTCAAATCCCACCACTGATATCCTACCTCATATATATATTAACTGTGTGATCCTAAGAAGGTCACTTTCTACCTGTTTTCTCATCTGTCAAATGGGGGTGATAGTAATAGCACTCTACCTCCCAAGGTTACTTTAAAGATAAAATTAAATAATATCTGTAAAGTGCAAACTATAAAGCACTATAAAAAGTTAGCTTTTATTATTATAATATTCCATTCCTAAGCCCCCAGGCAGCTCCCAGTATAGCCCAAAGCACAAGACTCTCCCCAGTAACACACATAACATGAAGGAATACAGGACCCACAAGGAAGGCCATCCAGGTTATAAGACTCCCCAGAGCTTCAATATTCTTCTGCAACAAATCTTAGTTGGTTCCTTTTCTTCCCAAATACTCAGCTATACAGAACTGGAATCATAAATACAGGGCTAGAAAGGACCTTAGAGGTCATATAGTCCAACCTCCTAATTTTACAGGAGAGGGAACTCTGGCACAGAGAAATTAAATGATTTGTCAAAGGTCATCCAGATAATAAGTGAGAGAGCCAAGATCAAAACCCAGAATTTTCTTTGCTATACCACACATCATAATAACCAGTCTAACACCAACATAAAATCTTGGGCTTCATGTAATACTAATGGGTGAGAGGTTGACACCCTTGTTAGGACTATTGTCTTCACTGTACCCCTTCCCTACTTCACCTGCTGCATTCCTACCATCCCTTAAAACCAAATTCAAATACCACTCCCTCCATGAAACCTTCCTTGACCTCACGATTTGCAACACTGCTTTTAGCCCTCACATAGCACTTGGTTTTATATCTCTTTAAATGCATTTATCACAATTTATTACATATACCTGTCTTAATGTCTCATCCCTCTACTAAACTATAAGCTCCCTGAGGGCAAGGATGATGTCTTATCAAAACTGCTTTATCTCCCACCAGGCTAAAATTGTGTTCTATACATAATGAATGCTTGTTGAATGAATTAAGATGTATGTACCTTCATTTTAGTTGGTTATGTATGTGTTCTCTCCCCCTACTAAATTATAAGGTCTTTAAGGGCACAGATCATTTTTATTCATCTTTGTAACATAACGCTTCCCCCCACCACCCCAAAAAAGGAAAAAAAATTTAGCACAGTGCCTTACAAAAAGTATTACAGAAATTTCAAATTGGAAGTAAGCTCAGTGGCCATCTTGTCTTGCTCATATCTGAACAAGAATTTCATCTAAAATCTATTCAACAAATGGTCACTTACACTTTACTCAAAGAGTTCCAATGAGGAGAAACTCATTACCTCCTGAGTTGGAATAAATGCCTATTAAATATTTTTTTCAAATTAATGAAGGAACACATTGACCTCCATTTCCTTCACTTCCCTAAGAGTGGGTCTTTGCCCCACAGGCCCATAAGTGACCATCAAGTAATAATGGAAATCTATTCCATATAGCTCTTTTCTGCCGAAGAGCTCAGAAATCTGTCACAGGAAGCATCTTATCTCACCTGATGTCCAACTATGGCACACACAAGAGCAGAGGTAATTGATAGAAATTAACAGCTGGGATAGACAAAGCACAGAACTTACAGGCCTTACTCTCCTACAAATTGGGGGAAAAAATCCCAGGGTCAGTTACAACTCCCAAAATAAATTTTATCCAAATCATGGGGTTACATTTTCCTACCCCGATTAATCTTTTCCTTAATTACACTTGCAAACTTGTCTACAGATTTTCAGAATAGATGTTCCTATCACTCGTAAAGAGAGGGGAAAATAATAATAACATGTCCCTGAAGTAGCATGATAAGAGAGAAGCCACTAAGCATATACCCCTGCTGAGACAGAGAATGACAGAGAATCAGGGAATTTAAAACATCACTTCATCCAGGTTCCTGTTTACAAGCGAGATGTATTTAATCTATCTTAATTAGAAAACTAACTATCCACCTCATGTAAGACTATTGTTTAAGCACAATAGCTCTCCTGTCAAGTGATGCTTTCTATTCAGGATGTCTTTTCTGATGGCTGACCTAAATCTCTCCTGATGCCATGCTAGCCCATTCTTTCTTTGGTCAGAAGTTGAGTATCAGGGAAGGAAGAGATATGGAGAAGGAAATGGACATGAAATTGATATTCAACATTAAAAACATGAAAGTAGCAACTCACCTTTCAGTTAAAAGCCACAACAATGATATGCTTGCAATCCTAAGCCTCCCATCCCAACATGTGAGCTAGGGAAGGTTTATATGTCCCATTGGCAGAAGACGAAACTGAGACATGGGAGTAACTTTAATGGAATGGAACCCATGAAAGAACCCTCTTTCTAACCAATTCTGATGTCACAGAGAAGGGATACAACACACACACATATACACACAATAAAGATACTTTAAAGACTAATAGCTCCCGAGGATATGGCATTTTCCCCCCAAATACTCCTAAGGGATAGGTAATCCAAGTATTATTATTCCAAATTTACAGATGAGAAAACTGATGCAGAGAGATTATGACTTGTCCAAGGTCACAGCTAGTAAGTATCAGAAGCAAGATCCAAATCCAGGCCTTCTGATGCTAAATTCACTTCTCTTTCCATTCTCAGAGAATCAGAATTAGAGATTATTTTAGAGGAAATCTAATTCAACATGGAGCTGACTAAGATAACCTTAATAAAAATAATAATAAATTACATTTACTTAGCATCATCAGGTTTACAAAGCATTTTCCTCACAACATTTTGAAGGAAGTAGTACAGTCATTATATCAATAGTTTTAAGGGCAGGGAGGCTAACCAGCTTGCCTAGTCATGCAGCTACCAAGGAATAGAGTCATGACTCAAACAAAGGTCTTCTGGACCCTCCATCCAGCTCTCTTTCCACTTCACTACATAGCCCCTATCTAACTATGCTATCACCCCCGATCTCTCCCTTCAGGGTAAGATGTCACCATGGAGACCCCTGATATCCCTCATGCCAGAATGCCTCTTGGCCCATCATCAATCCTCCTGCAATGGACGACTGAGTCAGCCATCCCAGGGAGAAGTGATCAAATAAATATGAAAAACACTCCCAAGAGAAAGAAATATTCACCAGGCAAGCAGAAATGATCCATATGCACAGATGTCTTTTATTATTTCTGCTTCCTAATACCTCAGGGCCTCCCTCCCCCACCCTGCCATCCTTGAAAAGAATTGTTGCTTTGTTATAACATTGGCACAGAAGGGACTGCCATGACAGTGTTAAGAACATCTGTTTAATTAGGGCCCTTTGACTGATTTTGAGAGATAAACAAAATCCCCACTTCCTCTTTTCTGCTTTCCCCTACCTTCTCCTTTGCCCAGTTCCCTCCACTCAAACTGAATTCCAAACTCACAGCATGGGAAGAAGTCCAGAGAAGTCTCTAGGGCCCCACTGTCAGAATTGGAAGAGCCTTTAGAGGTCATGTAATACAACCAAATGTAAGCAGAAATTCCCTGTGGAATATCACTGAAAATTAGTCATCCGACCTCTGCCTGAAGACCTCCAAGCAACGGGAAGCTCTCTACCTCTCAAAGCAGACCACACCACTTCTCTCTCTTTCTCTCCCCTTCTTCTCAGTCTCTGCTTCTTTCTCTTTATCCTTCCTTATCTGCTTATTTCTTTATTATTATTTTCTTCTTCTTATAGGTGTGGTCAAGTTCTCACTGCCTCTGCCTTAAATACTGTACCCCTTACCACCTATCTAAATCGTATCTATCCTCCAAGGTCCCATTCTAGTCTCACCTCTTCTATGGAGTCTTCCCAGGCTAATTCCAGCCTCTGATCCCGCTGTCTTTTTAATTACTATTGCCCTTACTGCCTATATCATTGATCCCATACTGCTCATTTTAAGTATTCCTTCCCTCTAATTAGGTGGTAAGCTCTTCAAGGACATGGGCTGTGCATTATACTTTTTGATATTTCACCCTTTTCTCCCATTTACCCCACTCCCATTACAAACACACACTGTCTGGCACAATGCTGAGGAAATAGCAAACATTCAAAGATTTGAATGGAATTGAATCTTTCCACTGGTTCGAGGAGGATTTTTTTTTTCCTGTTGAACAGTTCCCCACTTCCATTATCACTTTTCTTACAATAAGCTTAAAACCATTAGAACTATGTAACTATGGCATGTACAAAAGGTCATCTAATCCATCCCTTTATATCTAGGTAGAATGCTCCTTAAAGTATCCCTCCTAAAATAAGAATCCATACAGGCCGTTGGGGTCACATTCATTCTACGGGAATCATCTATCCCTGCATTTCCTGTAGTTCAGTATGCTTTCTCTCTCATCTTGTATATCTGTACAGATGCAGATCATAGCAGGGTAGGAGGTATTACTGAAAAGCCCCTTTCGCACATAGTATACCACCTAGACAGTGCCATACGGAATGATTTATTTCCCTATGAAACACAGTTTGTGCAGCAATGACTAAGCTTACTTAAAATCCAGTTCCCCATCTGAACCCTGGACTTGGAGTCAGAGGGTTTAGATTCAAATGCCACCTTGAACACTACCTGTGTAAACTGTTGACTTTCTCTGGGTGCTAACAAATCCTAAATACAAAGAGGGGACTAAGAGTTTGGGGATTCAATGGAGAATTAAGTATTTCCTTGCCAAGGGAGTCCATTGTAATTACATAATGCATTAAGGTGCTACTGCTGTCTTCTTTCTGTCCAGGAGCAACCAATTTGAGCTATACTGTGCTTACATAGCAGTGAAGCCACCAATGCTTCTGAAGAACAGTACATTTCTTCCTCCTTGACCAATTTAGGACTGTAATTTGGGTAATGACTCTGTATGGCCAAGTTCCAGCTTCAGCTCCATTCTCCAGTTGTGGGATTCACAGGGTTTGGAAAAGGGAAGTGGGTAGTGGGGGGTGGGGAAAGATGGGGTAGTATAAGTAACCTTCCACTTAGGTTCAGGAGAGCTAGGTACTCCCAAAGGTACTCCAGCTCAGTCTCTGTTATTTGTTATCTGTGTGACCTTGGGTCTACTTGCTTCTCCATTCCAGGCCTCAGTTTCTTCATCTTTAAAATGAAAGATTTTCTTTAGATGATCTGTAAGATCCTGTCCAGCTCTAACATTCTGAAAGTCAACATTTCTATTATGTTTCTTCATCTTTTGTTTTTAAATTCTTGCTAGGAAGTTCCAGTCTCCCAGAAGGCAGACTGGTCTAGCAGGCATCAGGGAAAAGTATGGGACTTACTCCAAAATGGAATTGTAGTTCCTAAGAACTAGCCACAATCTGAGAAGCCTGCTTCTTTCTGCTTCCTCACCCCCACCCAATCAATCTTACTCCACTGTCTCCATCTGAAATGCCAGTAGAAAATTAAAAGTAGTTGCCCCATGGAAAAACCAGACCGTTGCTTATGGCAGAAAAAAAAAATGAAATTTTTATATTTGGAGTGTGTTGGGGTTTGGGAGGGGGTGAAGCAGCAGTGACCTGGGCTTCTGGAAACTCAGCTGAAGGATTCATATCTTTAACTTTGATCCAGTCTGAAGTGGGGGTTGGGGAAGGGAAAGGAAGTTTTTCATCTATGTGTGAGGGAAGCTTTTGAAATTGTCTTGATTCAGGATGGTAATTCCCTAGCATTCCATACTGATAAGGGCTGTTCTTAAGCCAAGGAACTCTCTGAATCATGGCCCACTCCAGGATCTTATTTCAAACTGGCCAAGAAAGAGCCAGTGCTCCTGAAGATGATAATGGATTATTAATAATGTAATATTGCCCCTTTCTACCATGGCAATTCCCCACCTAATAACCTCAGATCCTTCCCCTTAGGAGCTAAAGGGAAGAAAGTAAGTAAAGGCTTAAGCCACATTTCATTTTTAAAATTTTAAGATTAGTCATTCAGCCCAATGAGCTGCAGAGGAGATTTGATGAATGGAGAAATACAGCATGTTGGATAATCTTTCCTTTGTCTCTGAGTTAAGACATAACTTCTTCCAGAGCCTGTGCAGCTACTCCACCTCATAGTTTCCCTGACCCCATTGCAGGGCTCACTGACCAGACGTATAGTCCAGGCCTTCTTATTCTGAGTTGTGATGTATTCACAGCTCCACAGCCAAAGGTTCGAACCCAATCCTCTCCTCTGACCTGAAACAGTAACAGCTCAGACAGGTGAACATCAAAGCATATTAATGTCTTGAGGGAAACCCAGAATTTGCCCAGGGGCATGTGGAACAACCTAAATTATATATGCTTTCACACAGAGCAATAGGAAGCTAAGTAGCTAAAACAGCCTAGTGGCCAGTTTACAGGAGTTTCAACCCAGGCTCCTTTAGGGAAATGGTAGTAGAATTATACCTTTTGCATTTCTTAAGGGGAGGACAGACTTGCCAGACTAGGATTGTTGTAAGGCTGAGATGAGGCAAGTTAGGCAACCTGTGCCTCAGTTTCCTCATGTTTCAATACTTCAATAGGTCTGTGATCTCATAAATGTATTGATTCAACACTGCTGACCACAGTCCATCTACACCTATCCATGCTGTGCCACCTGTCCATGCTGTGCCACCTGTCCATGTCCCACAAGTCCATCATGGGGGAGGGAGGCCAACATTCTGCAGGCCTTCCTCTAGTTCTCCTTATAGTGTGTGCATATCAAAGGGGCACACATAAGGTTGTTCATTAGTTATCCTTTCCTTTCAGAATGGGACTGGCTCATCTTTTTTACCGGTCACACATTCCTCTGATGACATTCTTTATGTCATTTCTCCTGCTCTATTCCTCATTAATGACATGTTACATTCTTCTCATTCTGGAGGACAGGGGTATAACAGGGCTAAAGCTGCACTCCAAAGTTGAGGGGAGAACTAATTTTCATCCAGATACTGTCAATGAAAACTGCTTCAGAGCACCTGAGAAGAGTATCCACCAGCATTCCTTGTCATTTACTGCATACTGCTATCTCTCTCCAGGAATGGAAAGGGGTAGGCTGGAAGAAGGGCCTGTTAGGGAAAAAAAAAAAGCGACCAGGATAGTGAAGGGACTCAAAATCATGCAACATAAGGATTAGCTGAAGTAATTGAGAATGTTTAGCCTAGAGAATTGAAGACTTATGGGGGCATGATGGCCGTTTTCAAGTGTCTGAAGGGGTCTCTTGTGGAAAAGGATTAGGCTTGTTCTGCTTAGCCCCGAGAGACAAAATTATGGGCACTGAGTGGAACTTGCCAAGAGGCAGGCTTCAGTTTGAGGTAGGGAAAAACTTTTCTAACAGTTAGAGCTGTCTATCAGGGAATGA